ACGCCGCCCGCTGCTCGAAGCGGGAATCGGCACAATCGGGCAGGTGGCGATTCGACAGGAGTCGGCGATTAAACTCAAGTCGTCGTGCATCGGCGCCCAGCTCGTTCGTTCGCTCATTCGTTCGTTCGCTCGCTCGCCCGTCGTGCAGCAGCGTATCACGAGTAATCCGTTCTTCTGCCTGCCTGCTCGTCTGCGCTGGCCGAGCAAGAACTGGGCCGTTTTATTAGCGCGCCAAAGAACGCCATCCTGCCTGGCGAGAAAGGAGTAAGCGGGGGCGAGCAGGCGCACGATTGAATATCCATTGAAATTGCAAATTCTGAACAGAAAATAAAAACTTGATCCTGCTGCGGGGAACTTCCAGCGTTGCTCGCGCGCGGAAAATAAGAACGAAAAATTTGCATCCAAAGTAGGAGCGACCCCGAGTGCGAGTAGGTTTTACCGTCGTGAAGCGTCTCGCGAACTCGTTATTCTAAACGTCATCGACGACTGAAAAAAACGGATATGACACCGTTGAGGAGTTGAGCTTGATATCAGTTCCGGTTGAGCTGTTTGGATACCGTTTCGATACATGAGTTCCGAAATACATTGTGATACTAGTTCTCGAGATATGTCTCTAGTTATAGCTGAGTTTTTGACCGGGACCCGAGCTCCTAGGGCGGAATTCGGTGATCGAGGAAATCTCCCGCCGCGGCAGCTGAATGACGGCGGCAAGAACCAAGGAGGCTCCGGAACGCGCGGTAGTATCGAAGCCTCCGAATCATGCGGTTGACGGGTCCGCAGCGGAGGCAGCGTTTCTTTCGCGATGACTTTGATCCGATGATCTAGTCTCGCTGGGAACGCTTCACTCCTCCGACCGTGGTGTCAGCTTGACGTGGGAACAGAGTCGAATTCTTTACTTGTTTCATTCCTGTCATTGTCTGAAATTCTCATATGGCAAAACGCCGGCTAAACTGAGACATCAGCCTGTCGAGGCTCTCTCGATCCGATTCGCTATACTGGTACCATATGCTGCCATGGCGGCGTGCGCCGCTTCCTCACTGCACTCGGCAGGGAGGGAGAGGGGGCGCCCTCAGAGTCGGGAAGAAAGCCCGGTAGCGAATGGAGCATTCGCTTGGAAGACATTTGCGCTCATCGTGGGAAGGATTCGTAGCTCGTATAAAATGGGACATGCTCCGTACGAGAAAAATCTCTCCCCCGAACATCTTCGATACTGTGCTTCAGTTGTGCGGCGAGTCGCGGAAGATTCCGCGGAGGAGCCCCGTTCAGAAATAATGCCGACAGATAATGTTGACGCTTGGCCCGTTCCAAGAAAGACAGCCGACTCCAAATGACGCGAGAACGCTGATGGGTAAATCAGCATAACTGACTGAGAGGCGACTGGCTTCGTAGCCGGTGAATGTTTTCCTAAAATGTTCCCTCGATGCTTCCCACCTGTCTGGATGATGAGCACGCGACCGCTGCACTCATCATCACTACGACGCTATATGGATAAATATCAAACGGAGATTACAAGCTTAATCCCGCCATCAGGCGGGAGGGTGCGGATGAAGTCTCTTGAAGGCAGCCCGAAGCCTGGCTGCACCCTAGAGCTCCTCTGCTTATGTGTAAAAGATACTCGCGTGCGATAGCGTCATGAGGAATCGGCACTTTCGGAACACTCAAGCGAATAGCGCGCCACCCGAGACGTGTCGCGCTGGACTGGAGCGTCGCGTTGCCCGAAACTTGAATACCGGATCCGATCATGGCCAATGCTCCCCAAAGAACCCGGTAATAGGATTTCGAATTTCTCCCCATCGGCCCTGTCGACCGATGTGCAGTCACTGATGCGCTCGTTCAAGACACGTGGCTGGCATGGGAGATGGAAGGCGCAGACTTCGTCCATGCATCCATCTATGTATCCAGGTCGCTTTTTCTCCGCCCGGAGCAGCCTTGCTCCCGCAGAAGGCCGAATCTGTGATGGCAAAGTCATGACGAAGATTGGAGACGACGAGTTCTATAATTTCGCCGGAATTAAAGCAGTGGATGACAAAACCCGCGTGTACTCCCACAATTTTCCCTCAATTCGGATTTGGCCAGACCAGTTGAACCACATTCCAGTGATCCACCCATCGGCTTGGGCTGCGACACTGGAACAATGGAGCCTACCAAGATAATCCACCGTTTCCACTGATAGCATGTTGCTGGCGACTGATGTCATTGACGATGATGACTCCATTCGGTGGCGAATTCGGCGACGTGTTATCCAGCCAAATACGCTTCTCACTCTATTATGTAGATTCATTATTTATGTTTCTTGAATCCGAGGCAGAAGTCCCCGGTACTCCCCGTTCGAGAATGGTCCTCTGGGATGGTCTAGGCTTCGGTGGTACTTGATATTAAGTGAGGGTATCCCGGATGAGCTCAGCTGCGATAACCGGGAAGAGCTGTCTTCCGAAGGGGAGCGCAAGGATTTTCCTCAGTATCCGGGATGAGGACATAGGTAGCCTGATTAACAGCTGGGTAGCGGTGGTTCGACGCTCGGAAGGGTCTTTTGAGATCGATTATCACAATCTACGGCTCCGGAATGAGAGCAGGCTCCTATAGAAAAATCAATCATTCCACGAAACGCCGGAGTCTGATTATTATTTGTACTAATAGTTATTATTAGTAGCATCAAGATCCGATGAGCTACGGTGTTTCGCGACCGGATAGAGAATTCTTTCCACCATCACCATTTTCGCCCGACCATTCCCCAGTGCGGGCGCGAGTCGACCGGTAACCTCAGAATCTCGCAGAGTGTATATTTCGCATTCCGCTAGTACATGCATACTTGAACGCCCCGGATGTATGCTCGTCATAGGGTGGCATGCATTTATTGGCTGCGCAAAGAGTGCCTGCTGGAGGACTTCGGGTAAAGAATAAGGGGAACTATTATTCTGCGCAGTTTCATTCAGAGAACCACCGGCTCAATTCATGAAGTCGATAAGACAAACTGCCGGTGAAGATGTTAGCCGAAAAATATCACAAACGATCACTCAAATGAGTCTGAACAGGGTTCAAACCTCGCTCGTCGAAAAGCGAGACCCCCGACTATATTCAACCGGGAGTTTGGCTGAGCGATGATTTTTCCTAGAACCTCCTGCGACAATTTGTCAATTCGCATACCTTCACTGAAATCGTGTTTCCAGGCCCCCGAAATTCGACAATGCTCGCTCCTCAGGAGGAGAGGCTGATCGGAGCTAGCTTCATAAGCGGCCTGCGGCTGCCAACGCCTGTA